CAGGCATGATTTTTTATTCTAAATTTTCATTGAATAAATATTTATTATACCTATTTCATCTTTGTTTTTCAACAAATTGCCAGACACATATTTGATGAAATAAGTCCCATGTGTGCTGTTAGTTTACTGTTAGTTGTAACACAAGAATCTGTATCTGCTCATGCAACCATGCGGCCAAAGATCAGTCATTTCAAAATGTTAATTTAGAAAGACAGCATATTCATCTATCAATGACTAAGTGAAAAACAGCTGTTCTAAAGTAACACTCACAAATTAATTTTCGTTAACACCTTTCTAGGTTTTGAAAGTCAGATGAGATCAAGTTTTGCTTTGAACATTAAAACAAATTATTGACCCTGTGATATGCATGGAATATAATATTATAATATTATAGTGAGAGTTTATGAGGATTCACAAATATTGATATGAAATTATCACACCTGGATATTACAACAACCTGGCATAGAAAAAGTGCAAGTACCAGTTTCATACTACATAATAAATCATCATCTTTGTTTTTCTATTCTGAAGAATGATAGACATATATTTCACCTTCAAAGTAACATCCTAACATTAGGTTAGGATGTTTTTTATGTAAGGCCAACACCTAATCTAGTAATTGTGATGTACAATCAGTTGAAAGCTCATACATATTACTATAGCTCTCACATGGAGAAAAATAGATTATAGCAAACCAAGAGATTGTTAAAGGTAAGAGTTTTTGCAATTACCTCTTATATATGATGAAACTAATAGTGTTCACTCTTAGGTTTAATGATTTGATGTTTTTATATGAAAGGATGACTGATAATTATCCCACCGGACAAAGTTCGAGAGGGATATAGGAAAGCCATCTGTTCGTCCGTCCGTCCGTTTGTCCGGGCGATAATTCAAATACCGGTTGACCGATTTGATTCAAATTTTATAGGCTTATGCCATGGCGATAGAACCTCTGCTCGAGAGGGAATTTTCAATCAGGCCGCTCAATTCAAGATGGCCACCATGTTTTGTAAAAAATGTAAGAGCACGTAATCTTTGATAACTCAAATACCAGTGAACGTATTTGGTTCAAATTTTATACGATGATGCCTAGGGACATCTTGTACATTTGTTTGTTTAGGAGCCTCAAAAGGATTCGGAATGTAAAATTAATTGCTGCTGAATATTTTGTAATTTACTTGATAATAAGAAGTTACATTTTTACAAATTTTGGATACCAAGGATATTAACACTCAGGGATTATAGACATATCATTTTTGGAATCTAAAAAGGAATATAAACTGATTAATCTGGTAGGAAAAGTTTCAACTTTTTCAACATCATATAAAGGTATTTACTTTTATGTGAGCCACTAATTAGTTCATACATATAAACACTGATCAATACATGTATATGGACTTATAAGCCACACAGTTACAGTGACATTATACAGTGAGGCCTCCAAAGGTTATATTATTATTATTATTATTAAAATATTTTATTATAGTGTCACTAGTGTTAAAAGTATACATACAATGTCAAATACAAAGTAAACTAAAACACTACCAGCCGGTGTCGGCTTATGAGACACTTAGGTCCTTCTACAATCTGGAACAATGTCCATTAAATAAATATACTATTCTATAATATACAATTATTGCACTGTTCAAATATAATATCAGCATGTTTTTAGAGTAAGCATTTTAAGTTGACTAGAATAAATATCTGTTGAGCATTTGTTTTGATCATTTCAGACCCTCTCAATATTGAAGTTCCTTTTTTGCCACATTTTAAATAGAGTTGAAGCCAATAAATTTTGGATGTTTTTGTCATGCATAAGACTGATCAGTGTACCCAGGCCATCATTTGAGTTAATGTTTATATGAGGGGCTGTTACTTTAACATTGTCATAAAACTCTTTCCTGATGTCCTTATAATGTTCACATTGAGTCAAAAAGTGTATCTCATCCTCAATACAATCATTATCACAGAGAATACATTTTCGTTCTTGCACCGGTGTGTTGTTCCATCTACCTGTCTCTATATTTAAGTGGAGACTTCCTGTTCGGAACTGAGCAAGTATTCTCCTGTGTTGTCTGGGCATTCTGTTTTTTAAGTACTGTTCAGTCACCACACCATATTTAAATTGACGGAATGTCCTAAGTTTGTTTCCATTTGCTTCATTATTTTTGTCATCCCATATGTTGGTTAGGAATGTGTCATTTTGATTCAGGTAATGTTTCAGTGCATTAAGAGCAAGTTTGGTTGAGACGTTTGTGCCATTTGTTATTGGGACTCCTCCTTTAACTAATAACTGCTGTGTTTTATAGTCCCAGCTAGACTTTCTCTTTGCAGACCATAAATGTATTTTGTGATTTGTCCTGGTTCTATCCATATTGTGAAGCCTCAAGTAAAGTCTAGCACACTCAATATGTTGCTTATCGAGGAGAGATGACCAACCTAGGTCTCCCCTTACTGCCTCATTGCTAGTTTTTGGGCTCACCCCCAGGAACATCTTGCCAGCTCGGTTTTGGATGTTGTTCAGAGGTCTGCGTTCATGCAGACCCACAATAGAACAGCCGTAATTAATTATGGGCTGGACTAAGTTATCATACAGTTTGTTAAATACATCGTAGTCCATACCTCCAATCGCCGTGGCTTTACTGGCTATTACCCCGAGAGCTCTGCTGGCTGATTTAGCTAGTTCCTTGACAGTTATGTTGGTGTCTACATTTTCATGCAGCCATATTCCCAAATATTTGTACCTTTCAGCATACTCAATGTTCATAGTCCCACAATGAAATACTGCATTTGATCTTGGACAAGCCTGTGGGCGATAATGTACCACTTTAGTTTTACTCTGGTTCATACTAATGCGCCATTTGTAGCACCATTCATTAACCACATTGAGCATACGTTGTAGATTAGTTGGGGAATCTGCCATCAAGACAATGTCATCTGCATACAAGAGGACAGATACATCCATGCCATCAATTTTGATACCACAGTTTAGATTTTTCACATCAGTTGCCAAGTCATTGATATAGATGGCGAACAGGGTCGGAGACAAAACGCAACCCTCCTTACATCCTTTCTCTATGCTGAACATTGGTGTTAAATGGCTGTTAACTCTAACTGAAGAAGATACATCTTGATAAAGGGAACTAATAGCAGAAAATATCTTGCCTTTTATGCCAATTTTGTTAAGTTTGTACCACAGACAGTCCCTGTTTACGCTACAGAACGCTTTGGTCATGTCGATATAGCATGTAAATGTACTTTGTTTTCCTAGCTTTCTATTGTTAATTATTGAATACAGAGAGTGCACTTGGTCAAGACATCCACGCTCAGGTCGGAACCCATTCTGTTCATCCACTAGGAGCTTATTCAATTCAAGATATTTGGACAGTCTCTTATTAAGCGTGTCACAGTAGATTTTACATGGAATTGAAATCAATGTTATGGCTCTATAGTGTAGGGGATTTCTGTTATCACCCTCTTTAAAAATGGGGTTTATTATCCCAACCATCCACTGATCTGGCACTATTCCATGACTAAAGCATTCAGCTATTATTTTGTGTAAAAGTAGGATACAATTGCGAGACTTTAGTACCTCTGCTGGTATACCATCAATTCCCACTGCCTTGCGTATTTTAGCACGTGCTACTGCATCTGCCACTTACTCTAGTGATATAGGGCTATTTAACATTTCATTTGTGTAAGGGTCAGGGTTATTGTCCATGCTATTAACTTCTAGCTTAATCTGCTGCAAGTGTTCATTATCATACTTTGGGTCATCAATGTTTTCAGCATATAGGGATCCATATATATCAGCCCAGCTATCCAGTGTTTCCTGTTGACCACTTTTGATATTACCTTCAGAGTCAATAGTCGAATATGGTATATCTTTTGTGCGTTCATTGGCGATTCCTATTTTTCCTATTTTCTGCCAGAAATTTCTGGAATTACTTTGATTATACAGATCTAATAGGTTTTGTTGTTCCTTCAGTTGATATGACCTTTTGCATTTCCTTAGAAGCTTATCAAAGTGTCTCCTTTCAATACAATATGCAGCTTTCAAATGGCGACGTTGACCAGTGTCCCTGCATTTTAGCCATATAGATTCAGCTTCTTTGGATTTATTCCACTGAGTTTGAAGATCATTATTCCAATAGGGTTTTTTAAAACTTTTGGCATTTCCATATTTAGATTTCACTTTAATAGGTTCAAATACACGCTCCATTTCTCCATTTAATACAGCAACAAATTCTCCATAGATTGTATTAATTTTTCCCCTCATTGAAGCATCTGATTCTATTTGATTAATTGCATTTTTAACTTTATTCACAAGATTGATGTCCTGTAGAAAATCTTGTGGGGGACATTTTACTTTATATTGCTTAGTGCCATTGGTACTGGGTACACTGCCAGCTTCGAACAGATTTGTAATTTTGGTAATTGGCTTGAATTTAAAAACACATTGAACTATTGAATGATCTGGAATATGTTGAGGAACACCGAGATTAAATTGCTGAATAATGTCTGACATTTTAAGGACTTTCCAGTCACTGAAATCTGTAATTTGTTCATGAGTAGTACAGATGTAATCAACAACAGACTTTCCTTTTGTGGAAATGCATGTCCAATCGTCATGGCCTAATGTGCAACCATTGAGGGTACATATGTTTGTATCAACAAGAAAGTTCATAAAAAAGTCACCAAATGCATTATCGGTGTAGTCAATGACAGCTCTTGGGGGGATGTTATCCACACCTTCAATATAATCACTGGCGGATCCCAATCTAGAGTTGAAGTCACCAAGGATACATATGGAACCCTCATTCTGGTAGGAATACACTCCTTGTATGAGGTTATTGAAAAAAGTCTGTGGGTCATTATTTCTAGTACATCTCGATAGAGGGGGTAAATAGCAGCTACATAAGTTGATTGAAATATCAGAATTCTTTGCGGATAGATTAAGCCATAGAATGTCTTGGTCAGATCTGTCAAGCACCTGGCATGTTATATAACGACATGCCCGTAATAACAAGAACTCTAACATTGAAGTGCTCTCATAGAGAGACTGGATATGCTAAAGAAGCCGAGGTATTGGAAGCTATCTACAACCTAGGCATCACCGATAATGAGATCGATGCGATACAGATTAACAAAAGAGACATACATGTAACATTCCTAAACAAAGAGGCAAAAACATCAGCTAGTATCCTGGGCCTGAATGTTAATGGCCAATCAGTTGAGTTGACTGAAGTTGAAAGCAATGCTACAAATATAACTCTTAAAGATGTACCCGTACAAGTATCTGACCAAGTTGTCAATGCATTTCTTTCTGGCTACGCAACAGTGGTTAATGAGATCAGCCACGGCTATGTGAGGAAGGCTGATGGCACCAAAACTAAGATCAGGAATGGTATCAGATATATTGGTGTAGTGGACATCAAAGAACCAATACCCAGTGAACCAATTATTGCCGGTTTTAGATGTAGACTATCTTACAAAGGCCAACCCTGCAACATCTGTCAGTTGGCAGACCACCCATGGTGGAGATGCCCCCTTAAGAGGGCTAGGAAGTGCTACAAATGCGGCGGAACAGATCATATTATATCAGCCTGTACAGCAGATGCAGATTCGGGTCCGAAGACTACAACTGCAATCACTCCCCCAGAAAACGAAAAAGAAACAGAATCTGTAAAGCGGAACCCAGATACAATCATTGCAGGCGGCTCCATTGCTAAAGGGCTTAGCCTTATTATGAAGACAGCTATCCCTGCATGCACAAGTGGGGCAAAAATAGAAAATGTACCTGGATTACTCCAGAAAATATCAAACCCAAGTGAAGATATAAAACAAGTGATTATTCAAGCTGGAGCCAACAATCTTGTCTACAGTAATGATGCGCCAGAAGTGTGCCTTGAAAATTAAAAAAAAAGAAAAAAAAAAAAAAAAAAAAATCTTGTACATTTGTTCAAGAAAGAATTTTCAAGATGGCGGCTGAATTTCAAAATGGCCTTCATTTTTCATTAAAAAACATAATCTTTGATAACTTAAATACTAGTTGACGGATTTGGTTCGAATTTTATATCTTGATGCCTAGGGACAAAGGAGCTATGCTGAAGAAGAGATTTTCAAAGTGGCTACGTAATCTTTGATAACCCAAATACTAGTTGACAGATTTGGTTCAAATTTTATATGCTGATATCTCGCTACAAAGGAGCTACGCTGAAGAAGAGATTTTTAGAATGGCTGCTAAATATCAAAATGGTGGCCATTTTTCATAAAAAGACGTAATCTTTGATAACTCAAATACCAGTGAATGGATTTGGATCAAATTTTCAGGATGGCATCTGAATTTTAAAATGACTGGCATTTTTTGTAATAAAATGTAATCTTTGATAACTCGAATAGCAGTGGATTTTGTTCAAATTTTATATGCTGATGCACAGGGACACAGTAGCTCTGTTCGAGAACGATTTTCAAAATGGTGGCTGAAATTCAAAATGGCTGCCATTTTTCATAAAAAAATGTAATCTTTGATAACTCAAATGCGAATTGATGGATATGGTTTACATTTTATATGTTCATGCCTATAGGGACAAAGAAGCTCTCCTCAAGGAGGAATTTTCAAGATGGCCACTAATAATCAAAATATGTTTTGTTCAGAGGGATTTGCTACTCCGTAGAGTTGGCGTTTTCCTAGTTCATACTGTTTTAGGCATGTTTTCCTTAACTTCCTTTAATCATTGTGTTTTTGTTGTTTTGTGAAGTATTGCCCTTTGTGCTTTCTTTTAGTATTGTGTTTTCATACAAAAATAACCATTTAGAGTAGAGGGTGATCATTTGGCTGCGCAACTTAGATCAGAGACTTCTTCTTCAGGAGACAATAATAACACGTTCATGCAACTGCATAACAAATGCTTGACTATTTCAAACAAAATGAATGACAAAGTTAAATCTTTCCTTATATTCCTATTATTTGGTGAAGCCATGTAAAATCAAAAAATATAAACAAATATCATAGTACATATTTACTTTTATTAAGTCTTCTCACTTTCAACAAAAATCATGTTCTCAAAGTAGTTAGGTTCACTGATATTAAGCAGGTATAGCAACGATTCTGAACTAGTTTTATGGGTGACTTTAACCTAAAATTTAAAAAATGAATCTCATGTACTTATGCCAATTCTACAGAAATGTGCCATTAATGCAGCTGCCTATTGAATATGTCCGTCTAATGCTGATTTGAAATTCATTTGCTCTCAATTGAATGAAGTGCTTGTTTTTGCATTTCTGTTAAATTGAAAATATGGCCAACAATTATCTGTTAATTGTCTGTTACTTGCTGATTCTACTCTTTTCTATTTTGTATTAAAATTTTAAAGCCTAACTGTTAGATATATTTTCTGTATGTTATCTTCCCTCCCTTAGCTGTTCAATGTTACTGTCTCTCAGTTTATCACAAATGCTCCAGTTCCAATGCCATAAAAGAATTATTTAGAATATTCTCGTCATAAAATTCAGTCTGGATTTTATTTCGTGACTAATTATTTGCTTGTTAATGCAGTAAAAGGTTGTTCTCCCTGATTTACTGAATTTTCCTTATACATAATTCTTCAAGAACCTTTGCAACATTTGACAGTTTTTTGATTTTACCTCTACTAATGAGAATTGACATTTTATTTGTTCTAATGTTTGTTTATAATGTGGTCAGCATGAAGGCAAATCAGGATAGAACCAATAAAGTTAAAAATAAATGTCAGATCACATATGCCGAATTGAAAGCCATTGTTTTATCAATTTATATCAACCATAATGTCTAATCTATCATTAAACTGGATAAATGTTTTTGTTTGTTAGCATTCCAGTGGTCTGTAATTATATTGTCACATGTTGACAAGTGAGTGGCCACATGTGTTCTTACCATTGCTTCACATATCTGTTGCTTTAGTTTATTTTATGAAATTTCTCTTTTAAATTTGAAAGCAGTATCTGATTTTCTTAAATTTCTGTATAAGTTAGACTTTTTACTTCCTGGCTTCATGGTTACCTTATTTCTTGTTTATCCTCTTCTTTTCTCTGTATGTCACTTTTCAAACATGGACATCCGAAAGTTTATCTATGAATATATTTTTGTTGTCCTCATAATGTTCCTGTTTAACAAGGTGAGATGGTTTATTCCATCAAATATTTTTTTTCCTTATTTTAAGGCTTTGATTATATGCTATGTTCCAATGTTATTGTTATATATTTCATACAGGATGGCTTGAAGGTGAACTAAAATGCAATTACCATATTATCTCTAATAAGCGCACATACTTCAATAAACGCACACCCAACTTTTTTAACTTAAGTAACAAAAATCACGAAAAAAAAATTCGAAAAATATCATCGGACGATAATAGTGTGAATTCAATTAATTCACTTACCGCTATCGACTGAGTCATTTCTGTGCATAATGCGGTTACAGATGTGTCTCCGGAATCTTTAAAGCTGTAAGTACATTCATGATAACCTTCTAGTGATGAGTTTAAAGCCATAATGAACATGAAATCTGACCGAAGCCAGTTGACACTCACAGTGCATCATCATATTGTGATATTATATGAATATAAAACATATTTTCTCTGACTATGAAGGCCAGTCAGTAACAGAAAACCTTTAGATTTTGATTTGGGTATCGCCGTCAGTTCCCAAAATGGCACCCTGGAAAGATAGGAGAGAGAATGTTTTATCACCGATATATATGTCACACACATAATGTCCATTAGCCCACAAAAGCACATTCTGTAGATCAATAAATAAATGCATAAAAAACATCTAGGTATGATACTATGTTATATAGTTGGAGTTAGTCCAGTTTTAAAGAGGAAAATCATGAAATACCTGATTATCGCCCATATATTAATTAAAAAAATCCCCAGGGATTTTGTCATTTGAGACATCTCCTCCAGGAGAATTTGGGAGATGAACTGTGCAATTATTAGAGAGAATACGATAGGTGACTTCCTAACATATTCTCCATTTCTCAATAATTCCAGTACTTATATCTGCCTTATATCTGTATATTGCCACTTCATTATTTTCAAAGATTGTCTTTTTGAAGATATTTGAATAACATCAAACTTTACATTTTGGGATTTTAAATCCTTTGCAATAAAAATCAATGTTCTTTAAAATTTTAATTGATTTAGATTAGCGGTCAAAATAATTAGTAATGGCTAAATAAATATGTTCTTGGGAATATACATTCTGTTTATGATTTCAATATAAGTCCAGCACAAAATTTAGAAGCAGGAAACATTAAAAATTAAGTTGATCTATTTCAAAGGGAAACATATAGCAATATACACTATGTTTAGGTTTGTTGTGTTTAAGGGGTTCCCTGGAATATGAATTTAAAAAATAATTTGTTCTGCCACATGGTGTTCAACTTCAAAGTGTGTTGACAAGTCTTGAGTGTGCCTCTCTTGGGCACATATGGTAGCAATAAAAAACTACATACTGAGCTATTTGTCAAAGTCAAATGTGTATGAAGCTTGATGCTGGTGCTATTTCTGGGATTGGATCAGATACCCTGGTAATAACAACCCAAAGAACATAAAGATTTTGATTTATGAGGGAGGTTTTGGGCAAAATAATAAGGAGGCAAATGTAGTCTTGCCTCATGCCTCTAGGCCCACTCTTCCTGTCTACTTCTATAGACAGGGGTCCTGCCATTTGGGGTCACCAAAAGTGTGGTATGTTGGTAGGGAAGGGGCAAGGGAGCTTGATAAATAAGGTAAATGATGCATTAACCAAACAGAATTTCACTCTTTTTGTCCACTGTATAAGAATGGAGAAGTTGCATTTTGTAAATTTTAGATTCACAGTCAATTATTTTTTGTAAACATGAATAAGAAATAAGAATTGAAATCTAGGCTTTTATATTTAGCACAGGAAATCTGATTGAGCTCAGTGAACATCTCTGAGAATATCTCCCAAGTTTGTGGTCAGATTCCTTCACCTCTAATAAATCAACTCTGAATTTATCAAAACTTAATAAATGTAGAAATATATTACCCTTGGCAGGTTAGAAGGCTTCTCAGACAGCTACAATTTATGAGATCTAAACTACAAAATGCTTACTATTTGGTATTTTATACTGCTATAAATGACCAGATTGCAGTATATGCATCTATTGGGCTTTTAGGAATTACATCAATTTTTACATGACATATGGATCGCACATACTTCGATCAGAATGACTAAACTAATATTAAAGACTTAGCTGGTTTCACCTTCATGAAAACATGTATGTTCCTCAGGGGTAAGGTCAAAACATTGATTTGTATCAATTTGATATAAGTATATACCTTTAGGGAGGGTATAAACCTCTTCATTTTGTGTCAGTATAATGAATTGCTTTCTGATTCATCAGAGATCCTCTTTATCTAAAACAAATGTGAGAGATAGTAATGGTTGTAGATCCCAGAATGAGTTTGTCATATTTTGGGGTTTTATAGTTGGTATGAGACAACAGAAAAAAGTTTCTAAAAGTTAAAATAAACATATATTTTGGCAGATATGGATTTATTGACCCAACCCCTGACATAATTGCATTATCAAGTAAGGGCGTTCCAGGTAAAGTTGGATTGTTTTTACTTTCAGGTCTGACAGATCATGGGATCGTGGCTCCAGTAGAGGTGGAATCTAAGCACAAACAAACAAGCAAATAAATAAAGAATTTGAAATTCCGCAACAATCTCTTCTACATTTCTACATTCTATGACTTGTGTTCACATCAGATAGACGACTCATAGGATGGAAGGTAAGTAGATTTTGATTTTGGATTTTTCATAGTTCTTGATGTCACCTATAGGCAATGCTATAAGAAATATAGCCACATTCTAGAAGTTACCAAACTGATATACCAAGTTTAAAGAAATAAGGGCTAAATTGACTAAGCTGTGATAGTTTAATAGTTTAATGTTGGTAAACTATTTTTAATATGTGGAGAATAAAAATGATGAACAAAAATGAGTGAAGTTTGCGTTTATTTAGTCAAGGTAGCAAGTCAAACAGCTATAAATCAAATCAGTCTAAATGTACGACATTTGACAGCTTCAGTGTTTGACTTTGTTCTACAAATCCCTGGGCACCTGGAGGTTCATGAAAAAATGTTAATAGTTCAATCATCAACTCCTGAGAGAACATCAGAGCAACACTTTTCACCTGAAATGTCAAGCTTGTTTTTGAATCTGTCCTACCTTTCACTTGATTTCTCTCTAAAATTTGAATGAGCTGTCTGATTTTCTTGCATCCTTACACAACTTAGAGTGTTTTCTTCGTGCTAGTTCATTTTATTGCTTCCCAACTCATCTCTTTTATACTCTATTTTGTTATTGTAAATTGTGACCCCTGAGATCTCATTCTGCACCTGAATGTCAACTTCACTTAGAAAACAAATTTTGCAGATTAATCTTTCCTATGCTGGGATCAAATTATTTCTGAGGATTTATATCATGTTATTTGCCAAGGGATCTATGACAAATGATTTTATGGTTTAAATGCTGATCTTATTGTACTCAAATAAAAACAGTGTCACCTAAATACCTTATAAGCAGAAAATCTAGTTTTGTTTTTTGAGATCTGACCATGTACTGTGATTGGTATTACAGCCTAGATCAAAGCATGCTTTCATATTAAAAGAGGGTAGATGAGGTAAAGCTCTCATAAAGGGTAATGAACATAGTACTAGATCTATCCCTAGGGGTGCATGCTTGGTGTATGGCAAATGCTGATTCTATCATGGAATTAAAAATGAAGATTGAAAACAAGAGATATCGGTTAATTGTTGTGACTCTCTATCATTCTCACTTACAAGTGCTGATTAATCTTAATGCATTCTTCACCTTAAATGTCAACATCACCTTGTCTTATATTTCCTGCATCATTCCTTTTACTACTGAAGTCAATGATAACAATGTAGTCTTTGGATTGAGTTTTTGTAATACAGAAAGTATATAAATGGGGAAGTGGTCCTGATAGAAGAAATACACTTTTCTAGCAAAATGTTCACTTGCAGTGTTGAATGTATGCAGTTGACTGATTAGGAGGAGGATGCGTATATCATAGGCGTAGCCAGGGGGGTGCGATGGGTGTGATCGCAGTTGACTGATTAGGAGGAGGATATATATATTGTGGTCTACTTGCAGTATTGGATGCATACACGGTGTACACAGACTAATATAAAGGTTCTCAGGCCCATAGCCAGGGGGGGGTGGAGGGAGTGGCAACCCCCCCCTCCCCTCTGGCCAGAAATTCTTTCAAAATCATGCAGTTCATCATTCTGAGCACTTTTCATATGCTGTTTTTTAGCCAAAACTGTCAAACAGCTCCCCACCGCCGTGGTAAAAGCTGGGCATGTCCTGGTTCTATACCTTACTTATCAATTCACAGGGTCTTATGATATTTCATGTTTAGTACTTTTTGCTTTTGTGAATCTTTCATTTTTTATTATATGTGTTTTGATGTATTACAAGTCATAAAAGATGAGTCTGATGGAAGAACAATATGGAAGAACCATTATGACTCAGCCCAATGTCATGATGGTCAAATTTTGAAATGTAAAATAAAGTGAAAATTAACAAGGACTAAGGTTAGCAGACAAAGTTGATACTCTAAAATATATGAATGTGCAAAATTATTAGCTAGTTCATTCAAATTTTGGAGAAAAAAGGAGTGGAGTAAACATGAGCAGGCATTTTCAGCAAGGTATCTCCTCATTTACTAATTAACTTGGGATAATAAAGCATGAATTGGTGATGTACAGTCATATTTGCTCTAGCATCTGGCTTAAGGCTAGCACAATTATTTAACCAAGAACATGTAAAAAATCCACTCTCATGCTGTAATCTTTTGCATAGGTTCAAATTAGGAAGAAACTACTCTGAGATTAGATAGAAGATGGGGATGAAACTTTTTTTTAGATGCATGCGCCAATTTGCAACAAAATATTGACTCATGCTAGAATCTACCTTATCATGTGAACTGGTCCCAATAGAGTTCACATCAGACAGAGTCCATGTTAGTCTCATAAGATTCAATATCCATAAAAATTGCATTTTATATTTTGATCATCACTATCACATAACATGCATTTCATAAACCTATGTCACTGTAAAGAGTAGTTGTATGCAATAATTTTGTTAAAAAAAATCGGCAAAAGTTATATCCCTTTTTTATTTTCAGCCATTTTAGTTAACATTGATTTGTCCATCTGTCTCACGAGATCTACTTTTGGACCATTTGCCTTAAAACCTCTATTGATAGGATTCCCGTTTTAAGTTATTTCAACATCCATACAGAAAACTCTCCTATGACTCCTGGTTCAAAAGCTCGCCTATTTTCAAAATGGTAACCATTTTTGTCTTGCGAAATTCACATTTTTCCTAGCTTTACAAATAATTTGAGGTGCCCTACACTGTAAAAAACCATGTCACTGTAAAGAGTAGTTATATAAAATAATTTTGTTACAAAAGATCAGCAAAAATTACATCTATTTTTTTATTTTCTGCCATTTTAACCCTCATTCACTTTTATTTTGAGCAACACCATATGAGCCCAGTACCCATGGTACTATTTGTTCGATTTCCAAACAGGACTGATCAAAGGAGAATATTTCAACACTAGGTTTGTGATACCTTACTTAGACCTTTATTTAATGCATTGATAATGTAGTGATAATCCCTGGATAATCTATTGTATATATAGCAATAGATATTGAATATACTTGGGATTATGTAGCTTTGATATGTAATTTAATCTATAATCAATTTGAAAGGTATCAGTTTCAATTCTTAACCACTGTGGAATAATTTATTGCAACAAAATCTGGCTTCAAATGACTGTTTGTGTCTGCATTTAATACTTCCATTAGACTGCAATAAATATCACATATATTATGAAAGATTGGATGGATATTTTCAGAATGAATACAGAATAACTTAATATGTTGTGGCAATTTAGCATAAAATTTGAAATGCATACAGGAAGTGAATAGAAAAAACTCCAGAAGAATGCATGTATAAATAGATCACAATTCACAAACATGGGTGTACTTATCAACATTGTTTGTGAACTTAACTGATGGCAGAAGATAATATTTGGACAGTTGCAACATACAAAAAGATGAAACTCCTTGACAGTCAAGATAAATGTTGAATTTTAAGTTGTATTGAAGCAAAGTTTCCTGCCACATGGTTTCTCTTACCTTCAGTGATTATATTACATTGGCTCATGTGTGGGATAGTGGCTTGACAAGTTCAAACTTAAGGTATGGACAGAATGACAACTCTTGAACTTTTTGTTTGTGCCATTACCTACCTTAAGAGTCAATGTAAAATATTAAAAAGCTTAAAAGGTAATATTGAGGAAAACAAAGAAAATCAAACCTCTTTAAATAATATAAATAGAACTTATCTATAAAAACACTATACATCCTTTGGTACTATTAAAATGGTAATTTAAAAGGCAAAAAATGATCCCATGATTTTTCCAGAAACTTTTATTTTTTTGATATTGATAAGTAGATATAATGATCTATGTAGGATTTTCATCAAACACAACTATATGCTATCATCCAAATAGCATCACAAACGAATAATATTTAATTCTCTTAAAACAGTGAATTTGAAAGGTTCATCATACTAAGGAGAACACATGAAGAAAAGTTGGTTAAAAATGAGTGAAATTCTATTTATGGGTGACCTTACTTTTACTTACTCTATGGTGTTCAATATCAATGAAGAGTGTTTATCTGCAGAGTGGGACTTATAAAACATTCCTCAATCACAGCTGACCATGTTTGATAAACAGTATCTGTGGTAAGTAGAACTACAGGCCTGGTTTATGGAATATTGTTCATTATTATACATAATGAAGGCAATGCTAGTTGAAAAATTCAATTTATTAAGATATCAATTCCAGTTGACAAGATGAGGGTTCCTGTGAAGTAGACCTAATTAGATTCATGGATCAGTATGAGTATGTGTATACATTTTGTATCTTCAACAATGTGGAACTGTTAAGAGGGGCATGCTCAGATAGACATCAATAAATCATGTTATTGAATCAATCTTGCCCCATGCCATCTCCTGGAAAAAACTGAATCTTGGAGATGGAATCTTGGGGATTTCAAAATTTTCATTTTTCAGAAATCCTAAGGAAAATTTAGCATGGGGTTTTGATATCCACATCAAACAGAGCACTTCAAGCTTGATTGAAGTTTACATTCTTAGCCATGTTAAACATATGACTTTTACAGTAGCCTTCAGAAGACCATGATCCACGTTTCTCCTCCATATTTACATCATTCTCGTTCAGATCTTATCAGAGGAGAATTTCTGATGGCAGGTTCAGGTCCATTGGTTGGTGAATTCATTGCTGAAAATTATGTCTGCTTTTTCTCATTTCAGTCACTTTCTCTCTAAAATTTGAAAGAGGTGTTTTAATTTTCTACATTTCTATAAATTTGCAGCATTTATTTTACCTCCATGAACGTCACTTTATTTCCCTCTTTCTAATTATCCCACCGTCCGGGCGATAACTCCAATACCGGTTGACGGATTTGGTTCGAATTTTATAGGCTTATGCCTTATGAGTGTAGGACCTCTGCTCGAGAAGGAATTTTCAATATAGGCGCTCAATTCAAAATGGCCACCATTTTTCGTAAAAAAATGTAATCGTTGATAACTCAAATACAAGTTGACGGATTTGGATTTTCAAGATGGCCACTTAATTTCAAAATGGCGGCCATTTTTCGTAAAA